GGGGGGGGGGGGGCTGCACTTAGCCTGCCTAGGATTTAGGATTTTGGCCTTAACCGTAATCCCAGTCCACACGGGCCTGATGGCAGCATCAGCCAGACAGCGCAAGAGCTGCACATCGTCTTTGAAATTCAGCCTCTCTCCGAAGGGCCATCCAACCGTTTCAGGAAGCCACGGGTCAGATCTACCGTTTAGGGTTGAGGGTTGAGCAAAAACATGTTGGCCAGTGGTGCGGGCGAGAACCACGAGTACTAGAATCACTCCGAGAAGTTCGCCCTGCGTCTAACCAGCAGCGCTAGGTAATACTTGGCGCAGTTGAACAAGTCCGGGTGCTGTTCGACCCACTGCGAGCCAAAGAGGGTTTAGGGATTAGGGTTTGTGGGTTCAGGCTGCAGGGTGAAAAGATCCAGGTTTGTTGAGGGCTGCAGCCGGGGCTAGTAGCTTGTGGGAGTGTGGTTCAAGTTGTAGGTCTTTGGGTTTAGATTCGTTGATGGTGTTCATGCTTTTCTGTGGTGTTCTTGTAGATTTTCGGTTACCGATTGAAGGAACTATATATCAGTCAATAATAAGGAACCCAAAAAAGGGTAGGTCTTTTCGGCTGCAGGTAGGGTTGTTAGCAAAACCCACCCCCCCCAAACCCTAAACCGTAAATCCCAAACCCTAAACCCCGAACCCTAAACCCTCAAACCCTAAACCCTAAACCCTAAACCCTAAACCCCAAACCCTAAACCCTCGAACCCTAAACCCTCAAACCCTAAACCCTAAACCCGCCGGAAGCCCCGGCCTCGCGCAGGCCCAGAGAAAGTTCGACTGATGCCTGGGTTCTTCTTCCAGGATTTAGCTTTAGGTTACGGTAATAGGGATCTATGGTACATTATATTATGGTTTCTCTTCAGGGATTTAGCTTTAAGTCACGATAATAGGGATAAGGGTTTAGGGCTTTAGGGTTTAGGGTTTAGGGTTTGGCTCTAAGTCACGAGAATAGGGATCCATAGTAGAAACTTAAGTTGCGATAGTAGGGATCTATAGTAAGTAATACTATGGTTTCTTTACGATAATAGGGATCTACAGCAAGTAGTATCATGGCTTCCTTACGATACTAGGGATCTATGATAAAAACTGTGGTTTCTTTAGGAGAATAGGGATCTATAGCAAACAATATGGTTTCTTTGCGATTGGGATCTATAGTAAATAAGATTATGGTTTCTTTGCGATATTCGGAATCTATAGTAAATAATAGGGTTTCTTTATTATAGTAGCGTACATGAAATTTCTTCATAAGAACCCAGATGCTGCGAGGAGAAGTCCTCGACGGTGCGCTTGGCAACTCGAGCCGCTCCACGAAGGAAGGCCTCGTGCTTGTATCCTGGATGGGAGCATGCAATGGATTCAGTCTTTAGGGTTTGGGGTTTAGGGTTTAGGGTTTAGGATTTAGGGTTTAGAGTTTCAGTTTTTAGGGTTTGGGGTTTAGGGTTTAGGGTTCAGTGGTTTAGGTCTACTTTTTGCATGATGCACGGAGATTCGGAGAACTCTGTCAAAAGCTCGCAGCGACATGAACAGTCGCCTGGCTTCGCAGCTCTCGACGCTATCGCGCCAACATCCCCAAGGCCCGAACCTTAAATCCCGATGCGGCTCCTGCCGTGCCACACGCCCACATGACCTGCACCAGGTTCTGCGGAACGAAGGCGTCGATTTGAGCCGCCGCTGAGTCCTCAGTCTATGGATGAATACTTCTGCAGTTGCTGTCATGGTTCGTGCGCAGACTTTTCGCTCTACCGGTATTTCGTTCCAGTAATCATGATCTTACATGCTTATTAACTAGAATCGGGCTTCGGGGGATAAGTATAGTATAATAGACCCCCAGGCCCTACCCTAATTACTAAGGCCCCGAAATTACAAGGGAAGCCATGCCAGCCCTGAAAACCAGAACTTTCAGGCGGGAATCGCCCCTTGCGCTGAAACCTACACCATCACATGGGTAGTTCTCTAAACTAGGGCCCCTTTCAGATCCACGATATAGTACGGCACCCTTACAAAAAAAGGACCCTAAAAGGAACCCTAATTTGGAAAACTACCCACATGCTGAAACCACGAACTCCGAAACGCAAGAGCCGAAACCCGAAGCCCCTTCCTTGGCTTCGAACCCCTGAGACACCCACTCAAACACAACCGGAAAACGATGCCCTAAACCCTAAACCCTCAGACCCTAAACCCCTAAAAACCCTAAACCCTTAAACCCTAAACCCGGAACCCTCAAGCAATTGAGAAGTAGAACGTGTATGTTGAGCGGCTGGAAGGTCCACAAAGCAGGAAGGGCGGGCAAAAGCGCATGGGGTGCGGGGCGGGGGGGCAACTTGTACACCTTCTATGGGGCAGCTAGAGCAGGCAGGGCGAAGGGCAGGGCAGGGGAGGGCAGGGAGGGCAGAGCAAGGGCAGGGCAAGCAGAAAAGACCCAGGAAGCCAGGGCCCAGGCGGCCAGGGGGCCAGGGAGCCACTGCGAAAAAGTAAAGCTTAAAAAAACGGCCAAACTGCGCACCCAAACCCTAAACACCTTCTATAAACCCGTAAACCCTGAACCCTCACTCCCCCCCCTCACCCAGGAACACAAAAAGAATCCACCGAGCTCCCGGGCGCAGAGGGCCTCGAAGGCGGCTTCGGCCTTGAAGCTGAGCTTCGCCAGGCCCCAGGAGATCAGAGCCTCTGGCTACTTTAGGGGTTTAGGGGTTAGGGGGTTTTGGGGGTTTTAGGGGTTTTGGGTTTTAGCTTTAGGGGTTTAGGGGCTTTGGAGTTTTGGGGTTTAGGGGTTTTGGGTTTTAGCTTTAGGGGTTTAGGGGGTTTAGGGTTTAGGGTTTCGGGGTTAGGGTTTGGGGTTTAGGGCTTTCAGGGTTTAGGGTTCAGGGGTTAGGGCCTCTGGTTTGTGTTGAAGGGCGTTCGGGCACAAGAGGGAGTGCCACCAAGGGTTTTTCAGGGTTTTGAGTTGAAGGTGCTCTTTATTTCGGGGGTTTAGCGGATTCCTTCAGGGATTGGGTTTAGGGTTCCGGGCTTTATGGTTTAGGGTAGGAGTGTTGAAGGGGATCCGTAAGGGTTACCACAAGGGCTGAAGCGATCAGAGACTCTCTGTGGGTTTAGGGGCTTAGGCTTCGGTAAAGGATATTATACAGCCCACTATAAGCCTCTTTTTGAGTAGGGCTTTAAGGGTTTAGGGTTTAGCGCTTTCAGGGTTTAGGGTTAAAGGGTTCCTTTATGGGATTCTATAAGGGTTACTAGAAGCGTTCTATAAGGGCTACTATAGGGCCTTCTGGTAATGCGGTTTCAGGTTCCTTTACGGTTATTAGAAGGGTTCTATATAGGGAGTCTATGCGGGTTCTATAAGGTAGGTATTTTAGGCTTTAGGGTTATTTAAGGGATACAACACAGGGTTTCTTCTTCTTTCTTGGGGGATGCTATAAGGCCTACTACAGGGGTTTCTAAAGCTCGCGGTGCCTGCTGAGCTCCTTGGGGAAGGTCGAGGTCGCAGTTTTTGATTTCGAAGCCTTGAGGGCCATGATCGGCAGAAGCCGGCAGCGTGATAACCAGTAGCGATGATCGCATGCACAAACCCAGAGAGCCCAATTCCCCTTAATTAAGGAATATACCTAAAATCATAATATTAAGGCCCCCATCATGTAAGGTATTCCTTATTTAAGGGGTATTGGGCTCTCTGGGAAGCCTTAAGGGCTAGTGAGCAGCACGGGTCGCAGTGTGAAAAGTGATGGATCTGTTCAAGCCCATGTCGGGCCCTCCCGTCGTCTCCTGAGCCTGGAACGGTTTAGGGCTTTAGGGGTTTAGGGTTTAGGGGTTTAGGGGTTTAGGGTTTAGGGGTTTAGGGTTTAGGGTTTAGGGTTTAGGAATTGGGCAAGATGAATGAGAGCCCAAATTCACGCTGTTGATGATCCATGGGGCTCCATAGGAGCTTACAAGGTCATAGAGCCTATTTGTTCTTGATGGGTTTTAGGATTCCTTGGAGTAGGGTTTACGGTTTAGGGTCTCTGAAGGAGATACTACAAGGGTTCTATCCGATTACAGGCCCTTGTTTTGAGCCAGCGGGTTTGAAGCTTATAAGCTTTAGGGTTTAAGGCCGTAACACGGGCTATAGAGGTTACTCAACATGCACTGCGGTAGGGTTTAGGGTGTTGCGGGGTGATCGGCTTATGCCTAAGGGTTTGAGGGTGTCGGGGTTTGAGGGTTCGGACCTGCTCTAGGGTTCGTCCTTTGGGGTTCACCGTTCCTTTTGGGCATTCAAGAGGATGCGTAGTTGTTGTTGTTCTTGTCGTCTACTACTACTACTACTACTACTACTACTACGACGACGACGACGGACGACGACGACGACGACGACTACTACTTCTTCTTCTTCTTCTGCAGACGGGCTTCAATGTTGAGGGGCTGGAACTCGTTGGACCTCGCAGTGATCGCACCGATGGCCATGCGCAGGAACTCGTCGATCGAGGGATCATCCTTGTAGGACACCGTGGCGATGGCCTGAAGACGAAAGAACTCAAGGTAGGATTCGGGGTTTCGGGATTGGGCTGTAGGGCTTACGGCTTAGGGCGTACAGGTTAAGGATTGGGTTTAGGGTATGCCTCAGTATGCTAGGAACTGCAGCTCAACATCAAATTTAATGCATGAGGTTTGAAACCCTAAACCCTAAACCGTATGCCAAGCCCAGCCAAGAGTCCCAGACGATCGTCGCCATATTCTGCCCCGTGAAGCTCCGCATGATCTCCTGGGTTGCTGTTACGAAACTTAGTCTAAGCTCCCATAATGGGGATACATATAGTATATAATAGGGTTCCTTAGTCTAGGAACTTCATTCAAGTTAAACCCTAAACCCTAAAAGCCCTAAACCCTGCAAGCCTGACAGCCCAGTCTCCATCGATCTCCTGGCAATGTAGGCCATGAGGTCGGGATCGTAGTCCCCGCGGGTAGCGAGGGCCCAGGCGATCATGGAAAGCTCCGACGGAGCGTACTCCTGCTCAAGAGGCTGCAAGTTTAGGGTTTAGGGTTTTAGGTTGAAAGCAACCAGTTCCTACAACAGAAACCGATCCAAAACCGCAGAAACAAAAACCGAAAACCCAGAGCGGCAGCGTCGCGGCATGAAAACCCCGAGGAACCCTAAACCCCTAAAGCCCTAAACCCCTAAACCCTAAACCCTAAGCCCTAAACGTAAAGGTCCCCTAAAAGGCATGCACCCCGAGGCCTTCAGCCGCAAGACCCGGCTCCGGATGGCGCTCTTCCATTCGTCTCCCACCGGATAGGCGAGCTTCGTGAAGGCCCAGTTCACCTCGGAGGTTTAGGGTTTAGGGTTTTAGGGTTTAGGGTTTAGGGTTTCGGTGTTGCGGGATTTAGGCGAGGAGGCGGCGGAAGAGGAGGAGGACTGCGGTTTGGTAATTGACGGCTTGGTGCCTGAAGTCCCTAAAGCCAGGGTTCGGTGTCAAGAACTGACAGACCGATGACGATTGCCATGATGCTCAGTGGTGCCACGGTGCTACAGGTTGCTCTTTGATGTGTCTTGTTCTTTTCCCGCTAATCTTACCCCCCACTCTTCTTCCCCACCGGCCTCTTACGGTAATTCCTAAACCCCACAAACCCCAAACCCTTAAAGCCTAAACCCTAAA